CCTTGGGTGCGTGTAGTGGGAAGGGACGCTTGCTGTGCCGCTCTGCTTGAACGCTGCGGCTAAGAAATGGCGCTTTTTTTGTTCCCCTAAATGAGCCAAGGATTTAAAAAGAGTAGTATTCAACTTACAATTAAAGAACTTTGCATTAAGGTGGAGAATTTACGCAGTTAACTCCAGTATTTTTTCATTTATGATGCACAGTCCTAGGCCCAGTCTCATGGCTCTTATTTGTACACTATAAGTAAGAAATTTTAGTGATATTAGTCACCCAAGTGCGACTTGAAAGAACAGTTTTTTAGATGGAGCTGTTACTGGAGCAGGTCGTCAATGCTTGAGGCAAAACCTCAACAGTAAACTCTGTCCCATGGTTTAACACTTAAATTTTGAGTTTCACCATTCTGGTTATACGTAATTCCACCATGCTAAATAACACTAGGCCAGGTGTTTGGGATGTTTAGCTATTCACACGAAACACTGAACAGTTTTATCCAGCAAATCTCCATTTATAAATTAAAATTTCTAAATAGCCAAACTATCACATGATTGAGGTTGTTGTCTGATAGTGTATGAATTAAACCCAATCTGTATCCAGATAGGAGTATGCTGGGTTTCTAGAATTGAAAATGCTTCAGTAATCAATTTCTTAAGGGATTGGAAAGCTGAAGCTCTTTAGAAAGCTTCCAACTGAAAGAATGCGGTTTTTCTAACTGTTTTGGAATGATTTGCCTGGGATCTGAGCATTATATTGCTCCTGTAATCCTCTTCACACAAGCTACTAAACTTGTTTCAACCTTCTTAAAATAGTTCGTCCTTTTCCATAGTGTTCTTGAAATACTGTGCTGAAAAACTGGATTATCTCTGGAAAACGCATCTTGAAAACATTTGAGTTTTGGACAAAAGGGCTGTGGGTACATTTGGAAGGGCATATGTGCACTCAGTCCACAGCCAGATTAGCCAAGCACGTACACCCAGCAAGCTCACCAAATTACAATAACTTGTTGAGTGTTCGTTTAGAGTTGCTGATGCCTAAGGAAGAGGCGTGATAGCGATATTCCTTTTAATTTAGTGACTGTTCTGTTGAAACTCTTGATCCCTTTTTGGCAAAGACACTGGCTCTTGTACAGCTGTTTTGTTTTATTTAGCAAGCTTGCACATGAAGTAAGTGGGAAACAATAGCCAGAAATAGATTGCTCGGATGAAAATGATGGACATGATTTGGTCTGGCAACTAAGGCACGAGGATTAAGTCAGGTGTGCCTGATTCTGCTTGTGCTGTCAAAGTAAAACTCAATGAAACATTAATGTCCTCTTCATGAGAATTTATTTTAAGGTTGGGTTTTGTTGTTTGGTTTTTTACCTGCAAATGTGTTTTTCGTAGTGGAATTATATTTTAAATTAATTCCAAGTTATTTATTTATAATACCTTAATTAAAAACCTCGATTGTGAATATAACTGCACCTCTAGCATCCAGTAGTGCTAGAATTGAATATAGGCTTATTTTAAACACAAACAGACAAACCAAACTATATCTGTCTGGTCTTATTTCACTTTCTCTGTCAAAAGATTACAGGTTCTGATAGTTTCTTCTGATTTTTATGGCTCATCAGCATGATGGAATAATGAGGCGAAAATACTTTTAAGTTAAAATGTTCTTATATCAAATAAATACACTAAACAGAATCACCTTGTTTGGGAGCCAAAGCATTTGATACAATGCAGAAAAAATACTTCAAACTAGGGTTAGTTGAAAGGTATTACAGCATCTCACCTTAGTAATTCTTTTCATCCGTGATGGTTTGGTTTAGTGTGGAGCCTCTTGAAAGAAGATTGGCACCTCTTTTTTTCTCCTAAGTGAGGTCTGAACTTTCCCTGGAGGAGGTGTCATGGAGGCAAGATGGCTGTTAAATAGCCAGAAATGTGAGTAAGGCTAAAGAAGTTGGTGTCACCAAGTTAGTCTGTGTCACAGAGAGAGTCCTTGGGTTTGGAACTGGCAAGAGCCATGTGGTGCCCTACGTCCTGGAAGTTGATACTCTTCTGAGATGCATGGCACAGTTTTACATTTGTCTGTAAAATTAAGTGTCACTCAAAGTAGCCTGGAGTTTGGAGAAGTCTGCCTTTGGTCATCAGACACAAGTTCTAAGACCTTACTTCCGTTTAAAAAAGGAAGTTCAGAATCTGGTACCACCGCATGACTGGGACGCTGGGCACAGACACGTTATACTGGTGCCTTATTCCACCCCTGCTATAAACACCAGTGTGTGTTTTAGCATTCCCTGTAATCACAGTAAACATGCAGTGACTCTTTGTGGGGCAGGACAACACTTCTGAAGACTCTTAAGAAATGTAATCACAATTGTTTTCCTCTTTAGATGATTTTAAGCCGGCATCAATTGATACTTCCTGTGAGGGGGACCTCCAAGTTGGGAAAGGAGATGACGTAACAATCACTTTGCCACATATTCCAGTAAGTTTGTTGTATACTGTCCTTGTTTACTCTCCAACAAATTTACTTACGGTCTAATGTAAATGTTTTCACTTTCATCTTTGCTAACACAAGTGGGTTCAGTATTTGAACAGCCAGATATATAGTGTGTAACCTTAGGAAAGGACTGTACAGCTGAATCTTCTTTGTAAAAGGTTCTATTTTTAAGGTTCCAGATGGTTCTTTACTTTTGATTCCTTCCTTCCTACTATTCCTTCAATAACGAGGAGGCTTTTACTGTCAGCTAGAGTCCTACACCTCATTTCCATCCAGTTTTAGTGCTGTAGCTTGAGGAAGAAAGGCAGAGTAATTTGAGCTTTAGTCCAGACTTGGTAGGCCTGTAAGCGTACTCTCCCCATTACTCAGGCACCTACAGATAGCACGGAAGGTTCTCTGCCTTTAACTTTGTCAGTGGGGGCGAGGAGGGCACTGATGCTCGGTGGCAACAGAGTAGTTTCCCATCCGCTTCCTCCTCAAATTAGGCCATAAAGAATGTGCCATGTGAGGATGACAGTCCAACAGCACTAAAACAAGTGATCAAACTGTTTATAGCTGTGGCTGTTTTGTAATTGAAGGTTCAGTGGTTTCCTTACCAAAACAAAAGAAAGTGCTTGCATGCCAGAACTGGATATGTTTATTAGCTAAAGTTAATGCTATGTGTCAAGCCAATAAACCAGAACTCATGGACATTGATGGGTTTGGTGGTTGCAGGCAGGCACCAGTCAGTTTGGAAACTGTGAGTCATTAAATACCTTTTGGTGTTTACTCTAGCATGTTGGTGGTTTTAATTGGTAGCTGGCGGTACTGTGATAATTCTCAGTGAATGAGGCTCTAGCCTGCTTCCCCCTGCTCCTGTTTTTTGTATGTACATGCTAATCTGACTTTGAAGAAGGCAGCTGTTCTTACATAGTTTGTGACAGTTGCTTTTAATTCACAATGAAAATACTGCTCTTGTGTATATATATAAATAAAATACATAGCAATGTAGATTATTTTTCAGTTGATCACATATTCTTCAAGCAACAATTCTGCTACAGGAATAATTAGAATTTTATTTCTTATCCAAACCCAAGATTTTCAGAGGAGAAATGTCAAGATGTCTGACACTTGTCAGGGCCAGCTATTCAGATTCAGTTATGTTACCATTTTGGAAACAAGAACTGTAAATAATGGCAACCATGGAGAAGATGTTTTGTCGCTTCAGAGGCACTTAAAATGATGAAAGATATAACATTGCTATGAGGCAACGTCTCATCTACTGCATACAACTGTAGTTTTCCCTTTTCGTGAGTGAATATTTTCTGCAGGAACTAAATGCTTAGCCTATTGCTCAGAGCAACACATCTATTAGTTCATTTTATTGTTTATGAACTTTTGGGTAGGGGAATATAACCAAACAAATGTGTGCTCTTTCTTTGATATCAGGGTTCAACTCCACCAATGACTGTGTTTAAAGGAAATAAAAGGCCGTACCAGAAGGACTGTGTGCTTATTATCAATCATGACACTGGGGAGTATGTGCTGGAAAAACTTAGCAGCAGCATCCAAGTCAAGAAAACAAGGTAAAGCTGGGGACAGGGATGTTGATAGGATTAATTCTTGCTGAGATTTCTTCTTCGGGCTGTCTTTTGAACCAGAACTCCATTTTCTTTTATTTTTTAGCAATCTTTATTTATTAAGCCTTGTGGGCTTTACATGGCCAATTACTGTGCCTAAAAATGCAAATAGGAGTGTAAATTTGTAACTTCTCCTTTACTGAAAAGACGTAATTGTAGTTTGCAGTGAAACACCTCAGATGATTTGAAGCTTTGGAAGCTGGCTGAAGGATGGGATGCGTTTCAGTTATATCTAATTAGCTGGAAAAAAACCCCACGAAACCATAGAAATATTAGGCTATCAAAAGGATTGTTGGACTTTCAGGTTTGTTCCCTACAGCTTCCTGTGGGAGTGATGATGCTTTCGTAATACACTCTTGGATCTACAATGTGGAACACAAATCCAAAGCATCCGGCTTCGGGGGAACTGTAGAAATAATGGTTATGAGGTTTTGCTTAATGGAATTGCTGAGGCCAGAAATCCTCTCTGACCCAATACTCTTACAGCACAGCACAAATACTACTACAAAGTGTGCATTTGGAAGATTTTTAGTAGACTTTCTGCTCTGCAGGTACCTGAAGTTTCTGAATCATGTTCTTTGAGCATCACTGGGCCACACATTATTGAGATTGAAAGAGAAAACAATTAGTCAGATGTCTTGTGAAGGAGGTCTTAAGTAATTTTACAAGTTTTACATTAAAAAAAAAGAAAGAAAATCCTACTTTGTTGCAGTGTAGAACTGTAGTAGTTTAGCTGCTAAAGCTGCTAGAAATGTGGGTTGCAGCTCATGTGGGTTCCAGCAGTTGGCTGGAAGTTTGTCAAGAACACCTTGAGTTGCAGGTAACTGAACTGTGACACCTCTGAATCAATGATGTGAAACTCATCCATGTGGCGTTTATCTTGTCCAGTGGGTGTGAGCATATCATAGGTGACATTTGAATTTCTAATTACATTCTGCCAGACTTGATCCAGGTGAAGCTTAAGTCAGAAAGGAGCAAAGAAGTGCAGGAGGGCTTGGCTTCACTGAGGTGTTTGGATCTACTGAGTCTTGGCTCTGGTGAGGTAAAAAATATTTCACTTTTTCTCAACCAGAGGCAGGGCAGTAAAAAATTGGGGATCCCCGTTATGAGGAATGGTGCTTTGCAAAGTCATTCTGTTTCCTAGATCAGAAGCACCTTTTATTTATTTTTTTTCTTGAGGCTACTTTGATCTTTACGACCTGCTGAAACTCTGTGGGAGCAGAGTTAGTTTAGTGTTAACATCCTGATGACATTGATGGCATTTGTTCTTTGTAAAATCTGCAGTTCCAAGAGTGTAATTAATAATTGAAACAATCTTCTGCTTTTACTTTTCACTTGGTACAATGAGTGTATTCCCAAATCCTCACTTCGGTTGTAAGTGACTGTGCAAGCCGTATTAATGTGGTATCTAATAGCTGCGTTTCAGTGACGAGTGAAGAGGTAGTTCTGTGCTTGATTTTTGAGGTTGCATCAACAATTCAACGAGGCATAGGGATGACACCTGAGTTGGTGCTAAATGTACGAGCTCAGATACCGGAAGTGGTTTAGGTGGAGTCCCAGGAAGTTCCGCATGGGCCAGTTTAACCTGTTTCTCGTGGGATTAACTCAGAGGCACAAGGTGTCACCCTGCTGAGCTGGGGCCCTCCTAGAACCCAGCCTGAGCTCTGCTACTCACATATACTGCTTCTGTGCTGCACTGCACAAAGCCAACATAAACCCCCCCAAAGGCTCTGGTGTTACACGATAAATATACCACACGCTTTAACTTCATTATGATGTACCGTAGGGGGACCTGAAAAAGTATTTTGGTTTGGTGTGGGGGGTTTTTTTATCAAGGATTTTGACTGTCCCACAGTCTCAATCACTGATTCAGTTAAAGAAATGCCTGATTTGAATCGAACAGCTAGGCATTGCGTTGTTCTATTTCCCACTAAGGAAACAGCTTAAACTATTTTTAAGGGATAATAGCAAGTGAACGAAAAACAGGAATTAAGTGCCTGCAAGCTGTATTTAAAAGTAAGAGTGATTACACTAGTCAGGTTGACCTCTAAGAGAGTTCAGTCTGAGATGATTTAATTGCAAGTGAGAAAATTGTTTCTTTTGCTGTGATTGTTTCAAGCAGCATTTTGTCATGAGTAGATCAATTTTATCATGTAGTTACCTTACATTACTATGATTGCTTATTCTTTTTTAAAAATACAAGTACTAATTGCTAAATTAAAACCTTTAGCACCGCTGAACCACATCTGGATTCAAAAATATGTTTTGTGGGGGTGTTGCAGAGTAGTTCTGTATGCTTATTTGTTACTGAAAGCAAGCATTGCCTACAGCAAGCTGTAATTCACTGTCAATAAAACAAAGCAGAGATCTGTGCAAAAGGAAATCACAGATGATGGGTTAGTACAAGGACACTGAAAAAGCTAAGTGTAGTTGTACAGTACTGCTGAATGTCTCTGGTTGTTTTTTCAGAGCAGAGGGCAGCAGTAAGATCCAAGCCCGAATAGAACAGCAGTCTGCCCGAGCGTCTCAGCCCCCTTCACAGTTCAGAGCCCCAACCAAGCCAGCAGCTGGACCTAAAACTTCTCCTTTGAAAGACAATCCTTCGCCTGAGCCTCAGCTGGATGACATTAAGAGAGGTAAGAAGGGTTTGTAGCTTTCTGAGTTTTAGTTGGTTTTGTCTTTCTTCTTTCTAATAAAAAATATGACTGTGCAATTTATAAAGACGATAGAATGTACAAGGATTAAAAGATGGTACTTGACAGCTGGTTTGTCATTTTTATGTCTATATAAGGCATCTTAGTGAATTATTTATTCTCTTCTGCCAGCAGAGACGCTTATTATACCTCTGTCTTCTCTGGCATGAGAGCACTTCCTCTTTCTGGATAATTTTCTCTGTTACAAATGATTTATCTGTTCTGAAAAGAAGAAAAAAATAAGTGTGAATTCGGAAACGTGTACCTGAGTGCTAGATGAGTTGAATGGGTGTCTTAGGCAAAGGCAACAAAAGCTAATAGTCCAAGATCTAGCTCTGCAATTGAATAACTTGGATGAGAACGATTCCTGCACTGCGTGAAGTTGGAGCTGTTTGCCCATGGGATGGAAGGGCTCGGGGCTGCGTTCACCTCACAAGAGCTGGCGTTCATGCTGTGCCGAGCAGTGTTGGCAGGTGGGGGGTGAGAGCGTGAACAACTTGCAGCTCTCCCTTAGCCACAGCTGCTTCTCTGTGGCTTTGATCACATCTGCCGTGAAGTTGCAATACTTCTATTGAAGTGTCTTGAGGGGATGACTGATTCAGCTTAGTCTCCTGCCGAAGCTGCGCTTTGTCTCAGTGTCTCGCTGTGGGCAGGACACACTTTCTTTGCCCATGTCTTACCTTTCATGCTGGAGCGATACCTGGCTGTGCTGTGGATAGCACAGTCAGAATGAGGAAGAGTTTCATTTTAAATTTTTATTTGGTTCTTTTGTGCTTCTTATCTGGCACCAGCTGCAGTTATTTTAAGATTGTCTAGTGTTGTTTTTTTTCTGGATCTCTTTTTCTTTCTCTTATTCTCTCTGTCCCATATAGCTATTTTTGCCGTAGACTTAGCCTATGTTAATTGCCTAGACTATGTTAATTACTTAGCAGGGTATTTTTTCACTTTGTGGTAATCACTAGGTGATGTTTTTACCGCTAAGCTATCTATGGGTTTGCATAGGTGCTGACAGGTCTCACTCTTTCGCAGCAGTAGTATTTACAATAGTGGACACTGGTCAGCAGGCAGAAACATCTGAGAGTCCATTAGTTACAGTTCCCTTAGTCGCATTGCTATTTTTATTTTCTATGTAATAGGTAAGGAGAAAGATAACAGGTAATATATGAATTTACAAATTAAATCAGTTGTGAATTTTTAAATGTCTTTTGTAGTGTGTAGTAAGTTACTTAAGCATTGGGGCATTTTGTATGCATACAGCAACTTACAAAGGTCACATTGTAGTAAAATCATCACATTTGTCTGATGTGACATCTATTCTACAAAGATGATTTTCTAGCGGTCAAAAATATAAGTCACATCGTTTAGAACTGTCCTAGTAATTTTTTTGCTACCTGGTCATCTTTTGTTGGAAAGTACCTCCAAATAAATAACTTGCAGAATTTTTTTTCCAAAGTCAAGCAAAATAACATGTTACTTCAGTATTGGTGTTCTACAGGGAGAGTCATTCAAGGCCCAACAAGAGTGCAAATACCTGGGCAGTGTTTTTTCACTTACAGTGTATGTTCTTTATAACGTTTTTCCAGCACTGGTTGTCTGGAGCATCAGCATTAGTAAACCACTTATATAATAAGAACCTACTTGAGAAAGATAGAACTAAAATAGCACCATTCCAAAATGAAAATAGTTAATAAAACTTAACTGCAAAAGTTATGAGATAGTCTTTAGTTCTGTTATCTTAATGTGTCTTCAGTGACTTGTAAGTTTTGAAGACACTGTTCTTCCCATTCAAGCGGTAGCTTTCCCTTTGGGTGAGGTACGTCCTTTGTATGAAGGAAAGATAAACTTAAAGCTGAAATTCTGCATTTTTTTCTTTAATGGACATTGCACAGAACTTTAAGTCCCCAAAGAAGGTGGTTGAAAGGATCTCTGGCACTATGACACTCTCTTGCTTCCCTCCCTAAGGGTGTGGTAAGACACACAGTACCGGTGATGTTTAACAAGAGTTAAACTGCAGCTTTGAGGTAACCTCAGTGCAGGTTTCTGCTTTCTGCTGATACCCTCGGCTGCGCATTCGTGTAGCTCCCCTTACATGTGAGCTGGGAAACAGACTTTTGGGGAGGTCAGTTCTGTGTCCCATCACAGCTGCCAAACACCAGCGCCTGAAGACAGGTTCAGAGCATGTGAGAGTTTCCCTCGAGCAGAGAGGCCCTGGGAGGTGGTATCTGGGGTCCTGCACCAGAACAATCTTTTCTCCTCCAAGCTTTTATATTGTCATCCTGCCTGAAGGGAGCAAAAGAGGGGTTAGGAATTTGGTCTTTTAAATGCTTGGCCACATCTGATAACATTTCATTAAGTGGTGAACATTTGCACACATAAACCATAATAAAGCCTTTTATGTGCACGAAGAAATCAGCGTTCATCAGACATGTTTGACCACAACAGAAATGTTTTCAATAATATTGACATAATTATGGCATTCTGTACTTGAAAAATAAAACCACAGGAACATATTTCTGGTTTGGAGACTGTAAATTCAGTGCTTACAAATCTGAGTGGAGCTTGTTTACCTAAAACGCTGCTGTAGCATGTGAGGATTAAACTTTAGCACTGCATTTGTCTCTAAAGAACATCTCAGACAAATTTTTTGTGCTTCAGTGTAAAAAACTTCCTCTTTAGCTGCCATCCTCACATGCTCTCCATGCCACTGTCAGGCTGATTTCTCTCCACCTCACGTGCCATTATTAACAGCAAGCATTCGTAGGGCTTTAGTTAACAATTCTGCACAGTCTTGGAATTGAAAGAAGAAGTAAGAACCCTTAGACGTGGTTATGGAAAGAAAATAGGGCATTTGATACAGGAGACAGCCCTGTTGAGAAAGACCATTCTGTAATGATTTCTGACCTTCGTTTTTTTTATGGTTTTTTTACTCTAAAACTGCGTTGACTGCCAATGTAGAACAATAAGCCGTTTTGTTTTCTTGAAAGAAAGCCCACAGTTGTAACATGAAACATGCAAAAGTTAAGGTTCCCCTAGCACACCTTTTCACATGGTGTAGGCTCAATTAAGGCAAGTGTTCAAAACTATACTCTAAAAGTAAAAGCTTTTCAAAAAGTAACTGCCGCATATCCTAGTTCTTGTCATCTTTTAAATCTTAAAGGTGTGTCAGTATGAAGCTCTTGATCTTACAGCACAGAAAGACCTAGGAAGGGTCTGACTCTGTAGTTGTTCAGCTTAGCACATGTGTATCTACACACGCAACTGTTTTAATTGGAGGCACCACAAGGAAACATGTAGCCAAGGCTTCGGGACCTATAATTGCACTAAGCATAACAGGCAAATAGGAAAATACAAACTCGGACAATTTTAAGGCACATGTGTTTTTCCCACACAGCTTTGGTGTCATCGTTGTCTTAGCCACCATCTTTGACAGGGTGACACGAGAAAATTTTGAACACACATCATCAGTGGTTCTGCTAGAGTTCTGCCTGACAGGCTTTTAGTGAGACAGCAGCCACCATAACATTAGTGAAAACACTTTTCTCATCTGCACAGATGAGATGTTTAGAATTCTGCACTCATGGATTTAAGGGGCAGGAGAGACCTGAGGGGAAGCTGGTGGCCTGTGAGGCACAAGTGGGCTAGGAAATGAGCTCAGGCCAAATTTCCACCAGTGGCCACTGTCGCTGGTAACACCCTGAACTTCCCAGTCACCGAAGCTTGTGGTGGTGCTGGTTTGCTCTCTCTGCCTGAGTGGAGCGTGGCGGGCCTTACCACTTCTTCCGAGGCATTCTCCCTTGCCCTCCTCATAACCAAGCCTCTACTATGGGCTCTTAGTTTTCTACCTCCCCAGCAGAAAACCATCACTTTTCAATCTGCCACTAATCTCTAATGCTGTTTAAGTTTAGCCAGGCTAATCTTCTTTTCCGTTTGTCAGACTTCCTTCAGTTATCTGCTTAGCTACTGTACTGCATTTTCTTTTCCTTCTAGTTCTTTTCCTTTTCACCACCGACACCTCTTGGATTGTTCCACCATCTTCACACTACTTTATGTGCTGCTTTCTGGCTGCTCTGTTCTTCTTGGCCTGCGTGGCCACACTTCTCCATTTCAGCTGTAGACTCTAGCTCTATAAACACACGTGTGATAATTCTCAGACACTTGTCCTTTATTGGTGTAGTTTATTAAATCTTTTTGCGATATGGGCTGTGGTCTGTAGGTGATTGTGCTCGCTACAATCCAGGATATTGTAACAATGTATTGTTATCATCACTGCAGGTTAAAACTAACAGCTCTATCATGAGAATTATGTGGAAATTTTACATTACTAAGCTTGAGGGGGAGAAAAGATAAATCTGGGCATTTTAAAGAGAAATGAACCTTATTCCTGTTTACCTTTCCTTTAGCTTTCCCCTATAAATTTCTTAGCCTTGAACACAAGGAACATTTGCAATTTGAAATCCTCGATACAGGTAGGCTGAGACCTGTGAGTCACAAGTGCTTATGTGACTGTGTGTCAGACTCAAGGCATGAAATGGATTTTTGAAGCCTGCAGGATTGTACTGAGAGGGAATAAGGGAGAAAGACATTACAATACAAAGTAATTTCTCCTGCTGGCCCAATCACATAGTCTTCTTCCTCTTCCAGTGGTCTCTTATGCTATGTCTTCAAGATGAAAGAGTAAGTTTTACCTGGCATACAGAGAACACAGGCAGTCTAGGCGGTCAATTAAGTTGGAGGCACAACCTCACTATCCTTAAATACCCACCTGGAATTAGTCATATGGTTCCATACATCACATGGTTTCCATACACGTCACATGATTTCCATACGTCTTCCTTGCCTCTGATTCAGTGTAACTATAGCATTTGAAATCGAGCTCTGGACTTTGAAATTGAAAAATAGCAGTCTTAAAACTGGCAAAAGAAAACTTAATTTCTCAAGCCGAGACATGCTGAACTAGAGGATCTCTCTCCAGCAAGTAATGTGGAGGCCTAAAACTTAGCTGTTACTCTATAGTGTTAAGCAGACCAAGGAAAATGGGTCTTACTAAAAAAGGAGAGAGTTCCAGTTGCTTAGGCTTACTGCTCCAGGGGCTGATGATAAGAAGCATTAAAATTGTGTCATTTTTACGTAGAGGAAAGACTCGCTTTGCATGGTCTGTCTATTCCATACCCAAGAAGGATGTCCCCAGCTGAGGAGCTGGGACTTTTGTCTCACTGTGACACATATCTGACCTAAGTGAATTACTCCTTGCATCAGTTCTCCATTAGTCAGGTAGGGGTGATAATACTTGATTTCTCCCTTCTTGTCCCTTTAGACTGTGACCTCTCCAGAGCAAGCACCAAGTACTGCAGGTGTGGGTGTAGAACTGCTAGCACAACAAAAGCCTAAATTTTGAGGGTTCTACATCCTATGCTTAACACACGTGTGAATATTGTTCTCACGGAAACCTGCCTAGGTCATTAGACGCTTGACTTTGTGGGTGGAGAGAGAAGTTTTTTAATAGTGTTTAGGCACTGTTGTGACAGATTTAACAACATGGTATGATTTGAGGGGACTTACCTTAATAGCTGCTCAGTAACCAGTTGTTCAGCCAGTACTAGCTGTTGCTGATGCAGCTATGATGGTGCTGTTGTGATACTGAAGTGTTCCTTTGCACTGGAACCCCCAAAGTGGAGTGTGTCCAACTTGAAAAACTTCTGGAGTAATCTATTTTCCTGGCTACTTCTAAGCTCTGCAGCAGACTAAGGTATTATGACCACTCCGCAACATGTGAACGCTGTCATCTGTTCTCATCTGCCCGACTGCAGAATTATCTGATGTCATCGATCTGCTTTCCAAAAGCCTGAGTGTCACTGACATCAAACAATTTAGATTCCTCCATGTTAAGATCCTTTAAAAAAATGGGCTGGCTGTTGGCCTCCAAAACTCGATCAGGAAATGTATTTACTTTATACATACAGCATATAACCTGTGGAAAATAATGAAGCAGGAAGTACTTTCAGGGGTGTAAAGTATATAAATAATAATAGTGGAAGTGAAGGTTTTATGATACTAACCTAGGCTATTGCTTCTTTAAATTTAACTACAACAACTAAGTAGAAAAAGTTTCCAGAATTTTTTTGCTTTTCCTTCCTGTCTCTTTTATGGAAGACATTTTGATCTGATAAATTATACTTGACAGAACTATTGCACTTTCACATTCTTTTCCAAAAATCCACAGGGCCTCGTTTACGCTCCCAACCAGATGAATGTCTTTTTATTTCAGAGCTGAGAGCGGAGGTCGAAATTATTGAGCAGATGAGCAGCAGCAGCGGAAGCAGCTCATCGGATTCAGAAAGCTCATCTGGGAGCGAAGATGAAAGCTCCAGCAGCGAGGGGGAGGAGCCGGCCCATGTCTCCCCTTCCCAGCCACCACACCAGCAGTACAACAACAGGAACGCTGTCGCTAACGGCACAGGCCGGCCGCAGGGGAGCAATCAGCTCATGAACACCCTCCGTAAGTAAACACTGATGTCCTGGCGCTGCGGGAACCTGCATGAGGCCACTTGGTTCTCTGGCACATTAGGCTCACTCCACGAAGTGTGGTTTGCCAAATAGTAATCCCAGGGAGTTGCATTGGCTGAGTTATGTGGGCAGCAGGTGTTTTTGAACAGAAGGTCGAGACCTGTCTGAAGGGGTGGAGGTCGTTTCAGTTTGTTCTAGAGCCTGTGGGCTCCCACTGACGGGGCTGAGCCTTGGTTCAGGCCTCTGGGTGGAATGAGTGGGCAGAAAAGCATCAGAGTGGGAGGAGCAGGTGCATTGGAGGGTGAGAGTTATTTTAATGTGAAAACACAGGTTAGACATAAATTGTGGAGTTGTCACGTGTGTCAGTGAAAGGTCTGTGAAGAACTGTGAATGGCACAAGGCTGTCCTGTGGTCATAAACGCACAGCCTTTGTGGTCTTTTGTTATTAGCTATATTGCTTTGTCAGAGTATTGTGCTGTGTTGGTCTCAGCTGCATTTTCACAAATAACACATTTTGGAGGGAAATTTATTGGGTTAAAATATTACAGCTGAAGCATTGAATCAGTACAAACTCACTCCGTGCTTTAAAAAGCTCAAAAAACATTTTTAAAGCATAATTTTGTCCTACAAGTCTCTCTGGGGAGATAGTGTACATCAGTGTTGCTCTTTCTGTATGCTAGATCAGGTGTATTCTAACTTGGCAGAGTTAAAATATTGCATTTACAAGAAACTAGAACTTTGTTATCATAAATTGTTCTTAATTCCTCCTGGGGCATGTTTGCATATGTCTCTTGGCACCCACACATAGGGAAGTGGTGGAGTTTAAATACAGCTAAATGTAGGGTTTCCAGCTTTGAGAAGACAAGTGTATTACACAGTTGGTACTGAAGAGGCCTACTGGAAGACTGGACAGGCTTGTCAGTCTTCCTGTCAGGAATGAACATCTGAGTGAAATCCAAAGCTCGTTGAAGTCAGTAGGACTCTTCCCATTTCCCTGTTTCTGTTTATGAGTTGACTCGTCCCTGCAAGAAGCCTCTGCCTCCAGGATAATTTGGGAATTGGTAGGGTAGCTCATTTTTTCAGACAGTGACTTTGGCCTTTTGATTTAAAATCCTTTTGCCAAGAGTTAATATGTCCTTGAGCATTCAAGTGACTGTCTCCATGGGAGAATGGCCCCTAACCCAAGTTCTTGTTTCATAAAAGGGGAGAGGAGAAGAAGTAGTCCAGGGCATACCAGTGGCATAGCTGCTCTGCAGCTGCTTGGGGCAGGGCCATGGGACAGTACTGGAAGAGTCAAATTCAGTCACCAGAACACGAGCGTGATTCTTGCCCCCTTTTATCCCCTCCACCTCACCGAGTGACAAGTGCTCTGCAAGTAAGAGCCTAAGACTGTAGGTTTGAGCTATGTCCTGGACTTTTTTGTCTCTCTCTGTTGCACTTTGGAGTGGGCTGGCATGTGAGCTAAATTCAGCCAATAGCCTTGAGTTGTGATGGCTTTAATGTGCCTTTTGGTTTACTGACATATAGAGGCCTTGTCTTGGCTACCCAAATGGCCTTAAAACAAAAGAGCCATGTTTTAAAGGGGCCGAGAAAGCCAGGGAATTCCCCAGTGCCTCATCCCAGAGCTGTGCTCCCACAGGCAGCTGCTTTGGCGGCTATGGAGCCACCGACGTTCCATCTGGCCTGGACCTGGCCACGCGTTAGCTCTGTGTGGCTCCTCGTGTTCTGGAGCGTGGAGAGCAGCTCCCTTAAATGGCTGATGTTTGCATTCATTTCATGTGTTATTCTCATTTAAATCTTCCAGTATAAATGCGACCGTTCTTTGATTTGATTGCCATGAAATGTGAATTAATGCCTGCTCACTTGTTGTGTTTTGTTGCATTTTTTTTTTCCCTAGGAAATGACCTGCAGTTGAGTGAGTCTGGGAGCGACAGTGATGACTAGAGGCTGAGCTTTTCCTGCTTCTGTTACATACACATGAAGAACTAATTTACCCTGAAGTGATCCTATTATTTATGAAGAGGAACTGGCACAGAGATAGTTCCACGTGTGGAATTTTAATAGAAATGCATAGCCCTGCAAAATAGCAGATATTGAGGGCTGTTCCACTTTGTTAATTAAGTGTATATTTTGTGTATATTCTTACTCTTTTAAAGCTTTAAATAGATGTGTACAGTGGGTAGGCCAATATATGTTCCTGTAGTCCTGTCCATCTTCCTTAAGTTTAATGTGTAACTATATGATGTCATCTAAAAATGTCTTGTTTGTAGAAGACTTTGCAGGGGAACTGTTGTATATAGGATGAACATGAGCCAACAATGAGTTTAAAAAATTGTGCAGGAGCTAGTATGTGCACTGAAGTGGGGCTATTTTAAATTAAGTTTGAATACTAAGTTGATCTTTCTGATTTGGGACTTTCCTGAAGTCTTTTTCTTGCTATTTCTGATTGATTTAATGGACTTACTTTTTGAACAGTAGGAAAATGGAAATCATAAAATCACGTTCATCACAGACCTTGCTGCACCAGTGCCTTATAAGCAGGTTTTTTCAATAGCGCTTCAGTTCTTGCCACCTTTCCCTATAGGGGAACAATACGGAAGCCTCCTCAGATTGCTCTTGCAAACCAGAGCTGTATTTCACAGACAACAACTGTGCTCTGAGGGCAATTGCCCTAGCAAGATAAACGATATGCATCAGTCACCTGAACACATCCAGATAAGATCCAGATCAGCATCTGCTTTTGCAACTGTCTCATTTAACTCAGACATTCAGACCTAGTCATCAGAAATATATAGGAGCCCGACTGCCAGTGAAATTACAGCATCACAGATGCCAGATACTGGACTTACTGAAATTGTAAGTCCAGAGCCCTCTTTGCATTTTCCTAGAGAATGCAGAAAAAAGAGGTGACTAAACAATTAACCCTTAAACAGCAGAAGCCTCTCTCCCACCACAGTTGTCCAGGCAGATTTTAGTCTGTGTTGTTTGTTAGACAGGGTCTCTGTGCCTGGCACAAGTACACAGAACAGGAAATATTTGCAGAGGGTGAAATTCACCCCTGTTTAAGGGGGTTTAAAGGGTGCTTGGTTGGATTATCATGAACATTTTTTGCTTGCCTGGAACACCAGAGTGACTTTTTAAAAGGAAATTGAACTGGCATAGGACAAGTGGCACCACAGTTGTGGTGCAATCCAGGGGAATGGGAAGCTGAGGCAGAGGCCTCTCTGTCCTGAAGTGTCTGCTTTTATCTGCCTGTTAGTTTGTCTTTTAACACCTGTTTGTTTACTGAACTCTTTCCTTTGTTTTTTTAAGGTGTTGAAGAGCAAGGGGGACACTTGAAGGGAGATTTTATTAAATGGTTTATTTTTTTGCATTAGATACATATTAAGGCATATTTTTGCATTACTGTACATACATTTAAAAATACTTGTTTTTTTAAAAGTGTTTTCTGATGTGGGTACATATTTTAACAGACAATTATGAAATATACTTGATGTAAAGCCACCACTGTGTACCTTTTTTTTTTTCTTTCTGTCCCCTTTCCCCCACCTCCCGATTCCTTCTCAGGTGGTGAAAGTCCTCTATTTTAAGAAGTTTGTGCCAATTTGGGTTTTTACATTTCAGTGCAGGAGATCTGCACGGTAGTTGGTGGTCTAATTAATGCTTACACTGCCTCTGATTTTTTCCCCAGCTTAATGTTTGAATAAGCAGGGAGGCATTTCTTCTGCTTCCATTTCCCCATTACCGGAGCTTATTCCTGATTTGTGTTGACATAATTTGTGCTTAAATGGAAAAGGAGCAGCGTGGCATGTTCTTTGCTTATCATTCACCAGGAACTTATGCACTCTGAAGTCCAGAACATGTCATAGGAGGTTTACTAATTATGTGTAAATAAAATAAATGAAACTTAAGAGGACAAGACAAAACCAGGCTATGTTGATTTGAGTCACAAATTTCGTTACGGTTTAGATCAGCAAGTGGGAAAGCTTCACTCAGATATCAATTTCTACCTCATTTTGTATTTGTACTCTAGGTCAAGTTTCCCTGCTATCCCTCCCTGAAAGATTTCTTCTTCCCTGCCTGTCTGTTGATAACCAGATGGCCATATTTTCACTCAACGGTTCCACTTCTAAACCGCACTTGGCTGTCCCCTGGAGACGCATCGTGTCGAGGGTGGCCGGCCAGCCTGGTGTCGGTGTGCTGCTGAGCCACATCCCACACCCAGGCTGCAGCATCTGGCTGGCCCTGGGGCTGGTGAGTGACGCGCTGGCCCATGGCCCGCTCATGGGCGTAAGCAGCACAGTCCCCATGTGTGTGTGACCAGCTTGTCCCCTCCCTGCCACTGTGTCCTGAGGCATCTGCCTGAGGAGCATTCTGGGATCTCCACCCTTCCCACAGCTCTCATGGCATGTGGACCTGTTTTGGGAAAGTGAACCAGGTGGAAGCATGGGGAGGCAACTTGTTTTCCTTTTTCTAAGGAAGTGAGTGTGTTTTGAGGCCATGGCCAGGCTGACATTGACTGGGGCTCTTAAAATTTCATGTATGTTTCATATATTAAAAACTAGTAAACGTTGTCTGTCCCTGTTAGATAGATCATTGTTCATTCATTCATGATTTGTAGCGAGTTTTTATTCAGATGGAAATTGGAATTCAAATTACTGACAGAAAAGCAAGTTATTTAGAATACTTTTAATTAGTTGGCAATGCCTTTAACATGCAGGAGAAGTAAGTTGGCTAAAAGATGTTTGGTTAAACCTGTAAATGAAAGAAAGCATTCCTGATTATTCCTCGTGGGTTCTAATCCTGCAGGATTTTAGCACTAGCAGATCTTGCTTCCTTACACTAATTCTCCCACATAAAGTAGGAACATCATTTTATCTGCCCATTAGTTTAAATGTGAATTACTGGTGTATATGGAAAGAATGCAGTTATCTGAATGAACTGGAACTGGGTAAATATTCTTTGCATTCGTGGGAGAGCTGCTTGCTGGCTATGGCAAAGTTAGCAGTCCAAGATAGCTTTGGTTCCTGATGGTTTCTGCTCTTCAGCGTCTTCATCCCTTTCAATGCTCTGACTTTCCTTAAAACTTCAGCAGCAAACGTGGCCTGCTTGTGACTTTCACCATAACGAGAATTGATTTAAGACTAGTAACACTAATTTGAAATTGTTCCATTAGGTTATCATCATTTCAAATATTGTTAGAATTTTATTTTTTTTTCAATAAAAAGGCTTGGTTTCCAAAAAATGTGAACCGTGCAGAAGAGTTTCTACCCACCTCTGCCCTTGGTGCAGCCTCTCCAGCGGAGCCACAGGCATGGTCACCTTGGGCAAATGGGGTCCCAGTTCCCCCAGGGAGAGTTGGGTATTTGTAACTCCTTTGTGTTCCACCAATGCATCCACCTCCTGTCCCCAGACCTGGCTGAAGGGACTATGTTGGGAAGGCAGGCTGATGGGAAGAGGATTGTTTTCTTCAGCATCACTGGGAATAGCTGAGAGCTGAACTATGGGTGGTACAGCTATTTTGGAGGCACCATGCCTGAGTTGATTTGCACATGGTGCTTTCGTAGAGACTGTCTATATGCCTGCTTATAGCAATGTATAGAAACAGTTTGCTGTGCAAAGCTTTATAGTATTTTTTTTTTCCTCCTTCAAAGTCCATTTACCTGAATTAAAAATGAAATTCAACAATCTGTGCTTTTTTTTTTTTTTGAGGGGCGTATCTTTTCTATTAGTTTCCAAATTAAAGAATAATATAATGGAGCCAAGTAACTGCTTGTGTTTCATTATTAAGTGTGCTTTGCATTTCCTGCTGGTCAGCTTCTGAGTCAGAGAGATCCTATGGAAAACTTAGCTGCCTAGCATCTTGGTGATATGAAGGCTGCTGCTGGTGACTGAGGGTCTTGGGTTCAGCGCCTAATGACGAGTGGCGACATCTTGAATATGCCTGGTAATTTACATTTTTTTGTATGCACACAAATACATCTAATATCAAAGGAAAAGGAGCATTGCTAATGCTTCCCTTAAAAACAGAAGTTGGGCAATTGTTGGGAGAGATGTGTGAACTTGTTGAAGATTATGTGCACATGTGAAGTACTTGATACTACACCCAAGCCCTGTTCTCAGAAGATAAGCTGATTAATGAACAAATAGTTAGTAGATAACTACCTCGGGTCTATGTGAGAACAGAGTGTGCTTAAATTGAAAGGTATCTGTTTAGCAATTCCTGTTCCTGCAGCTTACACTCTCTTCCTTTCCTTATTTTGTAATTCCTTTTTTTCTAGCACGTCTGCTTTCTCCTGCCCAAGTCGTGCAGGAAAGGGGGTGGGTGTTGATGTGTGACAAATGCATTAGCTTTATTCGCCCTTGCTCTAAATTTATTGTAAATGATAAAGACCTTATGAACGGACCCATCTTCCTCCTTGACTTGGCCTTTATTGCGGCTAAACAGCATTTGGACAGCAGACAAAGAAAGGGCGAGATGTAGTAGGGGGCTGCAGCAGCAGCCTGCACAGAGGATATTATCACGGAGCCAAGCCTGAGCCAGCCTACACAGCATACTTGTAAATAAAACACAAAATTCATTGCTACCTCTGCTGGGGGCAGAAAAGTGGAGTCTGGAGAAAAAGTGGGTTAAAGATACCTCACTAAAGGGATTTGCGTGGGAGTTTTGGTGAGCTGTTTGGCCTGGCTGAGGTTCGGTTAGCTCTGCCAGTGAGTTTTGGTGTGCTGTGCATGCTGGGGGTGCCCAAGTCTCCCTGACTTTTGGGCAGATGCTAGTGGGAGCAGGGCTAGCATGTTTTTTTCTGTATGCTCTTGGATTTAGTTGAAGTGTGTTTTAAAAATGCCACTCACAAGCCAAATGAGAAAACTGAAGGGATATCTTGGAAGAAATAATGAATTTGACTTGTAATCCCACAGAATCCATAGGTTCTGTTATGTCTCACAGTGATTTTCATTCTCCTGTTTTTTTTGTAAAAACAGCATTCTGAAGAGCAGAGCATACAAGTGCACTAAATACCAGGTTAAAGGTTTTGCATTACATTTTTGACCCATGTTTCTTCC